TTTCACATTGTCAAGTAATAATGACTTGGAAAGTTATTATTTTATAACTGAAAGGACACCCTTACACACCAAAAAATAGGAAAAACAAAACATCAAAATGAACACATTTAGCTTTGTTTCATACTCACTGGTTTGCTACCAAAAAAAAGGTCATTAAAGATCAATAACTTAGAAAATCAGTTGAAAGCACTTCTTAAGCCTATCCAAACTCTATTACCCAACTTCTACTTCAGACCTCCCATTCTGCGATAACTACCTTCAAAACTACCTCTCCATTCATAATAAAATTACTGTAGGTATCTAAGAATCATTTCCTAAGACAATTATTGTTAGGTAAAGAAAATAACCTAGTAATTAAATCTAAAAAGATGTTAAAAGTAAAAGATCTATATTGTGTATAAAATAATTCAACATGTGAATCACTTTAAATTTTTAGTTTTTTCCTACAATTAAAAAAATCAAACTATAAGTATCACCTAAAACATATTCAAGGCAACTTTGAGCTTCTGAAGGTTTAAGTGGCTCTGAACTTTCTACTGCATTCTGCTCATTCAGGCAGTATTCAGCTTCAACATTACAGTTTGGCTTAATAAATCCTACTTCCTTTTCAAAAGCAGCACAGCCCTTAGATAATTCTGAGGATCTATTTCCTCAAATTTCAACACTGTTGTTCCTTTCTTTACATTTCTGCAAAAGCCTTCCATCCACCAGAGATTAGTACAAGCACTTCTGACCATCAAAGCCACAGGAAATCCAGGTAAATAATGAAACAAAGCTGTATTTCCAGGATTATGTAACCTCTCTGAACCCAAAAGACAATGTGGGCTATTGACCACCATAAACTAGTTTTTCAGATCTCAGTATAAATCTCTAAGTTATAACAATATATGACATTCTGTTGGCTAAAGTAGAAGTAGTTCTATTGTGAAGTCCAAACTTATCTTTTTGAAAATTCACTGTATTGTTATCTTCACAGTTGTACAAAGGTGTTTCAATTTAACACAACCATTTATATGCACAATGCATCCTGATCAGTCACCACTTCCATCATTCCCAAACACTTCTTTGCTAAGAACTCCCAAAATACTAATTATCAGATACCCAGGAAACCTTCATTTAAGTTTCAGCTTCATGATTCCTTTCCATTTTTGATGGTATACATAATATATTCTAGACAAATCTCAGATATACCTTTTAACAAAATGCTATATTGGGTTCCTGTGAGATCCATTCCCACTATTTTACCCTAAAGCAATTTTTCTTAGAAACACTCTAAATATGCCAAGGAAGGGATAAGCAGTATTCATCATCACTTCTGAAACTAAAAATTCACATTATCACTTTGGAAAACAAAAATAATTTCACTAACTTTCATTGAAATGCTTCTCCCAAATTTTACAAAGTATTATTTCCTCTCACATAATAACATGATAGCTGCTGCATGATGCAGGAAACAAGATGGAAAGTTTGTGCTGACTCTTTAAAATAGCATTAAACAAGCAAGTCTACTTGCTGGCTTACAAAGTCTACAAACATCACTTTTTTATCGTTCAAATATCTTCTGGTTATCTTGTCAGTTTAGGGAATTAAACTAGGTTGAATCTGAACAAAGTGCCTCACAGGGTAACATCCTCATGCCACAGAACAATTATGTTTAAGGAAGGAGCTTAAAGAAAAGATAAAGTTTTCTCTGAAATTAAGTCACATCAACCCTTGAAAGCACACTGTAGGGAAGCCTGGTAATATGTGTCATGTATTTCTTCTTAGCCATCACAGATCAAACCCTCTCAAAGGTACACTCTGGGTTTGTTTCAAAGGGACATCTGAAAAGCCATGAGAGCCTTCATCTCCTATTACTTCCATTTGAAAAGAAGTTAGGTAATGAAAGGCTGGATTAAGCTAATTTTTTGAGGTTTTTCAGTAAGCACAAACCTGTCACTGCTGCTAGCCCTGAGCATCTTGAGGAATGTTTGAATCCTGGCTCTAAAGTGGTCACTCAGCCCTCTGGTAATATCACTGTGACTAGAGGACTCCCTTCTCTGCACACTGGGAGATGGAGGTAGCTAAACTATTCAGAAAAATAACAAAACATTGACTTTGTCTATTTAAAGTTCAGGTTGAGCAGCAAAGCCATGTCATCTGCACAGCCTCATCTTCTTGTTATCAGTACAATCCTCAGTGGAGTATTCAGAAATGAGTTATCCTTTCTTGCATGTCAGAAATAAACAACCCCAGGACAAACATGGAAGTAGAAGAGGGAAGAAGGAAGGGCCTTTACAAATGCAAAACCCTAATACTGATGCTCTTGAGTTTATCTCCCCAGATGACATAATATTACAACCAAATAATACTGATGCTCTTGAGTTTATCTCTCCAGATGACATAATATTACAACCAAATGCTCACACTGTTTTATAGGAGAATCAAAGAAGAGAAATTCAGAAAGTAGTCTCAAGGCTGACAGTAATTTTTCACTTCTCAAGCTATTATTAAAGACCTAGCATACAGTATCAACAAGGAAAACAAACAAACTATAGTGAACAGTCTTCCCTCAAAATTCAAGAGAAACTGGCTTTAGGACACCCAATGAATACCATGAAGATATGCACTGCTTTCATATACCCTTTTTTTTTTTTTGGTCCGCTAAGGGGCTTGAACTCAGGCCTTGGGCACTATCCCTCAGCTCTTCAGCTCAAGGCAAGCACTCTACCTCTTGAGAGCCACAGTACCACTTCCTTTTTTCTAGTGATAAAAGATAAGAGTTTCACAGATTTTCCTGCCTGAGCTGGCTTTGAACCCCAATCCTCAGATCTCAGCCTCCTGAGTAGCTAGGATTACAGGCGTGAGCCACCGGCACCAGCTCATATACTTTTTCTTTTGGTCTTTTTTTTTTGTCATATACTTTTTATTGTTTTTTGTTTTTGGTGGTGCTGGAGATCAAATTCTGCATAATAGACAAGCTAGAGTGCTCCTACCAGCTCTCTACCATATACTTTTACTCCGGATTACTTTTTTATACTTTTAATCTTCACATTACTTACCATAACCAATGCAATGTGCACTGTAAATAAATAATTGCTATACCAAAACCAGCACTTATTCAGTATTCATGTAATCACCATAGCCCTAACTACACTTTTGACTGTTCTTGGCTGAGCTTTTGCACAGACTCCACAGATACGAAGGTAAACTAGAAGTACAAACTGCATAAATACGTACAAAGGAAATACAATGACAGGGCTTTCTCTGATCTCTAGATTATAGTTTTCCTCTCTCTTAAATCGAGATGTGAGATTCTTAGTAAAACAACAACCAAGAAAAGGCTTATTTCTATGTAAACACTTTCATTAGGGCTAAGATTTTCTTCTTTAGTTTTTTTTTTTTTTTTTCCAAGCAGGTAGAAAACTCATTTATTAACAGAGAGCAGCACTTTTTAAAGCCAAAAAGGGCTGGTGGCATAGGGAGGAAGAGGAACCAATCACTGTCAAGGTCACACCCTGTCATGCACCTAAGCTTTCCCGGGCTGGTTACGCCCTGAACGTTATGCCCTTAATTGGGCTCTGTCCACTCTACTCTCTCTCAGCGCCATCTTTGCTGCCCATGTGCTCTACAGTAAATTGGGCTCTGCCCACTCAACTCCCTCTCAGCGCCATCTTTGTTGCCTGTGTTCCCCACAGATTTCCTCCTTTTTTTTTTTTTTTTTTAACAGGATTACATTGGTAAGATAGCATTGGCCACGCAGGGGGTTCGAGGCAAGTCTGGGGGTCGAGATTCGCCAGACAAGGATAGAGAGGGCCCTTGTGCATGATCCAAGAGCCCTGTCCCAGTTACCTCACATCCCCACCTAGCACAGTAATTTTTATCCCCTGCAACCCCTAAGACCCAATTTCCCTGCCACAAGACTTCAACCCCTGAATTGTCAAAGCATAAACAGAAATCTCCTCCTGCTTTAGAAGTAGGATGTACATGCTGGCGATTTCATTTTCAGGTGCCACTGAAGACAGAGTGACACTTAATAACAAATTCCTGCCGTTTTTTTCATTGCTTCCCACTTCAGAACTACAGCATGAGTTATCATCTTTGACCTGTTCTGGAAGTGCTTTGACCAGTATGGAAAAAAAATGACAAAAGAAGATTATGGGCTTACTCAAGGGAGTCGAAGCTTTCCTAACTGCTGAGAAGAAATCATGGCTAGTCAGGCATAGCACAGTAAGATTCTGCATGAGAAATGACATATATTACTTGGCCTTGGTTCAAGGCCAAATACAGAATACAGAATACAAAGCTGAATTACTTTCAGTGTCAAACACATCAGGCGAAATTCATAGGTGCACATGGATGGCATTTGTAATTGTAAATGGAAAGATAGATAGGCTGAACATTATTGTTTATAGAGTATAATTATGGTGGAAGGTACAGAGTGAATTCATGTAGATTCTGTGGACTCAATTAAAACAGGGGTTTAATGCAACAGGGTCCTAAGAGGCCACAAATCTAAATGTGATACAGACTAAAAAAACTGATCAATGAGGATGGGAGGGAAAAACTAAGAGAGCAAGGGAAACAGTAACATTGTCCCAAAAGAAATTTACTCATTATCTGACTGCAACTCACCTTTTAACAACAATTAAAAATCTGATCAAGCCTAGCCCATCTTCTGTGTTTAATGGACAAAAATACAATAGGAAAAAGTGATAGGGGAGTAAGGCAAAGCCCAACAAAGCATCTTAGGTATTCTTCATTCTGCATCATGGAAGAAAATAAGTGAACCAAAATGTAGAGGCCACAAGAGCTTAAATTCAATTGGAATATCCTGCTATATACATACACAAAAAGTATACTGAAAAGATAGGAATTTAAAATCTATTTCAACATTACAAACATTGCCCTTATTAAAATATAAATCCTCTTTTGTCTCACACTTTAATAGAATTGTCAAAAAATCTACTTAGAAATAGATAAATATGTACATATATATTTATAAAGATAAAACTACTTACCTTTGCTTGTTTCTTGTTGGCTTCTCTTCTGGCTTCCTTTTCTTTCAGTCTTTTCTCCTATAGGAGAAAAAAACGAAGAGAAAATTAGTGACATTCTATTCAGGTATAAAATTAACTACAAAATCACTAGTTTAACTTTTTAAAATTTTTTAAATTAGAAAGAGAAAATTAGTGACATTCTATTTAGATATAAAATTAACTACACAATCACTATAACTTTTTAAAGCCAACTTACAAATGAGATTTGATATTCACTTTTCAATAACTATTCATAAAATACCTATTATTTATTCACAATCACTAAGTGTACGTCAATCAATCTGGAATCACCTCCCAACTATACCACTTATTCGCTATGCATTTCTTATGTATTTATTCTAACTCAATCTAAAATGGAAACAATAGGAAAATACATGTTGTAAAACTTGATACAATTATACAAAATTATATAATTAAGTGGTTTCCACAATATATAAGACTGATACACAATCAACTACAGCTATATTTGAATAAAAGGAGAAAATTCAATCATGACTATTTTCCTTATCCTTTGAAATAGAACTTATAAAAAGAAATATGAACTCCTCAACCTAGATTTTTAAAAGATTGTTAATACGATCTCAGAAAACAATTGAAAGTCCTTCTTATAAAACATGTTATTTTATTAAGCTGCTTTATAATTCTTTATTAGTTTCCACTGGCCATAAAATAAATTAAAATGCAAAAATAAGATTTTGTTTGTTTTGTTTATCAGAGGAAAGGTCTTCCTAGCCTGTAGCCCAGGCTCATCTTGAAATCACAATCCTCATGCTCAGTCTCCCAAGTGTAGGTTACAGGTATGAACCACCACAAACTAGAAACACTGAGGTTTTTTAAGTAAGAAAAAGTAAAATTCAAAATGAAACAACCTAGCTAAAATTAAAAATGAATGCAGTTTTAAAGTATTTTTTAGAAAACTATTACCATCTTCAAAAATAATCTGTCAACGAAAGGTTTTTAATCCCTAATTCCTAGTTAATATTATGTTGTTTCTTTTGATGAACTATTATGTTAATATAAAAAGTAAATTGACAGTAAGTTGTTTTCTTGTCGGATTGTAAGATGATATACTGATGAGTCATCATTATATTAAATCTATTGTTGATATGAGGAAACAATAGCTCTGTGGGGCACTCATTTATCTTCACAGTGCTTCATATGCATATATGGCTTTAAATTCAAAAACTACTCTTAATCCACACTCTGACGACAGAATCACATATACACCTTGTTGACACATACAGACTCCTTTATGATAAATTAAGAATATGAGTGGTAAAAATCTCAAAAGGAGGGCTGGGAAGGTGGCTCAGTGGTAGAGCGCTTGCCTTGCACGCATGAGGCCCTGGGTTCGATTCCTCAGCACCACATAAGCAAAAAGAAAAAAGCCAGAAGTGGCGCTGTGGCTCAAGTGGTAGAGCGCTAGCCTTGAGCTGAAGAGCTGAGGGACAGCGCCCAGGCCCAGAGTTCATGCCCCACAACCAGACCCAAAAAAAAAAAAAAAAAATCTCAAAAGGAGTTAAACACTAATCAGTACAAAGAATACAGGAGTCCGGAGTCTACAGATTCAGTTTTTAGTGCTTCAGATTACACAGTAGTAAATATAAATTCTATGCAAAGCAAACAAACCTCCAAATTCAAATAGCTACTAGGTATGTTGTATTCCTTCTGTGATTATTTTCTTCTCCAGCTTTGGAGAAGTAATACTCTGACTTCCACAGAAAATATACAGTAAAGAGGCTGCTAGTAAATTACACAAGTATCTAAAGATTAATTGGCACTATGTCAAAAAAAAAAATGAACTTTACCATTTAGGCGGCGGTGAGGATGTGGGGGTGAGGGGTGTAGTTGAGGACGTGGGACAGGATGGTAGGGGGAAAACAAAGGAGGAGGCAACAACACTGGATAAGAAATGTACTCAAAGCCATAGTAGTCAAAACAGCTTGGAACTGGCACAAGAACAGACCTCAGGACCAATGGAATAGAATTGAAAACCCAGAAATAAACTCACAGACCTATAGCCATCTAATCTTCAATAAGTGAACTAAAAAAAGTAGAATGGAAGAAAGACAGCCTCTTCAGAAAATGGTGCTGGCAAAATTGGTTAATCACTTGTAGAAAACTAAAGCTAGATCCTTATATATCACCCTGCACCAGAATCAACTCCAAATGAATCAAAGACCTCAGAGTCAAAGCAGACACCCTGAAAACATTACAGGAAGGAATAGGAGAAACCCTAAGTCTCCTTGGCACAGGCTGAAATTTTCTTTTTTTTAATGTTTTTTTTTTTTTTTAGTCGGTCCTGGGACTTCAACTCTAGGCTTGGGCCCTCTTCAGCTCAAGGCGAGCACTCTACTGCTTGAGCCACAGCGCCACTTCTGGTTTTCTAGTGGCTTATTGGAGATAAGAATCTCATGGACTTTTTTGAAGTATACAGAGTGTTATGGGTTTTGGAATTTGTGGACACAGATTTAGAAGATCTTCATTTACAAATAAAATATTTTACATCTTAAAAAAAATAATAAGAGAGAATCTCATGGACTTTCCTGCCCGGGCTGGCTTTGAACTGCGATCCTCAGATCTCAGCCTCCTGAGTAGCTAGGATTACAGGCATGAGCCACCGGCTCCCAGCCAAAATTTTCTTAATAGAGACCCAAAAACACAACAAATTAAAGAAAGGTTGGACAAATGGGATTGCATGAAGCTGCAGAGCTTCTGCATGGCAAAGGACATAGCTAGCAAGATCAGTAGAAAGTCCACGGATTGGGAGAAGATCTTCACTAGCCATACAACGGACAAGGGTCTCATATCTAAAATATACTTAGAATTCAAAAAGTTAAATCCCCCGACAACAAATCCTCAAAGAAACAACTGCCCAATAAATAAGTGGGCTAAAGACTTACAGAGAAAACTTCTCTGAAGAGGAAAGAAGGATAGCCAATAGACACATGAAGAAATGCTCAACCTCTCTAGCCATAAAAGAAATGAAAATCAAAACACCACCACCTCACCCCAGTTAGAATGGCTATAATCAAGAACTCTAAGAACAATAGATGCTGGAGGGGATGTGGACAGAAGGGAACCCTACTGCATTGTTGGTGGGAGTGTAAACTTGTCCAGCCACTTTGGAAAGCAGTATGGAGGTTCCTCAAAAGACTCCACATAGAGCTCCCCTATGACCCAGCAATCCCACTTTTGGGCATTTACCTGAATGATCACAAACAAGACCATACTAAAGCTACCAGCACAACTATGTTTATTGCAGCATTATTTACCATAGCTAAGATATGGAACCAACCCAGATGCTCCTCAGTAGATGAATAGATCAAGAAAATGTGATATAGACAGACAGACAGACAGACAGACAGACAGACAGACAGACAGTGGAATTCTATGCCTCCATCCGAAAGAATGACATTGCCTCATTTGTTAGGAAATGGAAAGACTTGGAAAAAATTATATTAAGGGAAGTAAGCCAGGCCCAAAGCAACATAGGTCCCATGGTTTCCCTTATTTGCAATAACTAGTATATGTCTGAGACAAGCAGAAAAGGTCAGATAAGATGATGTTAGGTGAAATGAACCCCAAGATAAGGACACAAGTGTTTTTTTTCTTGCTTGCTATTGTTTCTAATGTATTTATAAGGTGATTTTTTTTGTTGCTTTGTATGTCCCTCCCCCACCGTATAACCCCTGTTTTCACTGTATTTGATGTTGGTATAATTTGAGGAAGGGAAAGGAAAAAACAAATTATTTAAATAGGGATACAGGTGGACCCATTGCAACAATGAGATGTACAAGATGCTATGTTGAAAAACGAACTTTCCAAGTTTGGGGGGGGGGGGGGGGGTAGTTGTGAAGATGGGAGGGCCGGGATGGTAGGGGAAAAACAGGAAAAACAAAGGAGGAGGCAACAATGCTTGATAAGAAATGTACTCATTACCTTGCTCATGTATTTGTAACCCCTCTGTATGGTATTTTCACAATAAAAAAAATTTATTTAAAAAAAAAAAGAAATGTACTCATTACCTTGTTCATGTAACTATAACCCCTCTGTACAATATTTTCACAGTAAAAAACTTATTTTAAAAAATTAATTGGAAGTTTCAGAAACCAAGGTCAGAGGAAAGAAAAGAAAGATGAAGAAACATATAAGAAGGTTTTGATCTGCTTACTTGTCAAAGAGCTTGTGTAATTATAAAAAGACTGATGTTAAAGCTGGGTCTTTTTGTGCCAAGACTACTCTCTTTTCCAATATATTCTAATAAAAATGGTAAGTATCAACAGATATGGCTTTAATAACAAAAGAAAATAACAGGTACATTATTTTAGTGGGCAGCTAATCAATGCAATAGCTATTATCAAACTCTGCCCTGAGCTAGGCATAGTGGCTCATGCCTGTAATCTCAGCACTTAGAAGCTGAAGCAGAAGGATCACAATTTGGAGACCAGCTTGTGATATACATACATACATACACGCATACATGCACACATATATACAAATATATATGCACATACACACACACCTCAAAAATATAAACCTGCCTCAAAAAAAGCAACAAACAACAACAGAAATCCCTAAATTGGTTCTCCAATGAGACTATGATGAATGTTCTGCCACTAAAATAATCTGAGTGCTTCTTAGATTGGTAGGAAAAAATAAGTTAATAGATGGCAGTTTCTAAATAATTTGTGGCCAAATTCTTCATCTTTGGCACACCAATTACTGATTTTCTTTGACCATTAGCAGGCTATAAAATACAGGATAGATAAAAATTAAATTATTCAAGGAATATTTATGAATCCTAAGTTTGGTTAGCTTGAGAGCTGGGCCAGTTTATAGATCCATATATTTGTAATTTTACTTGTTTTTCTCTATATAGGACACTTTAATCCTATTATGAACGATCCCCAAAAGTTCTCCCATTTAAGACATTAAAATTAAATGTAACAGTATCAGAATAATGACTAGATTTTTTTAACTTTTTTTTTGCCAGTCCTGGGACTTGAAGTCTGGGCCTGGGCACTGTCTTTCAACTCTTCAGCTCAAGACGAATGCTCTACCACTTGAGCCACAGCATCACTTCCAGCTTTTTCTGCTTATGTGGTGCTGAGGAATCGAATCCAGGGCCTCATGCATGCGAGGCCAGCACCCTACCACTGAGCCACCTTCCCAGCCCAGATTTTTTTAACTTTTTAAGTGTATGATAGGGTCCCAAAATTTCACTTGCCTTTTTCACTCCTTGCTGGTATTCTACTATTTGAGCCATACCTCCAGTTCTGACTTTTATATTTTGGCTGTTTAAGCAATCTTAAAATTACAGCTACAGTAGAACACAGGTGGCTCACACTTTCAATCTTAGCTACTCAAGAGGCTGAGATAAGAGGATCTTGGTTCGAAGCCAGCCCAGGCATGGAAGTCCAGGAGACTCTTATCTCCAACAAAAAAAAACAAGCCTCAAAAAAAAAAAAGCCATAAGTGGAGATGTGGCTCAGTTAGTAGAGCACTAGCCTCGAGCATAAAAACTCAGAGATAGTGCCCAGGCCCAGAGTTCCCGCCCCACGACCACAAAAATAAATAAATAAATAATAAAAACAAAAACAAATAAATTATAGCTACATAACACATTAAATTGCTGGATTAATAAAATCACATTTCCATAAAAATTCATTTGTCCATTATCGTTACTATTATTATGAATTTCTTCCAACAATAATAGTTCTCCAACTAAACATCAACAATGTTCAAGACTTTTTTCTTATCCAATTGGTTTTTTTCTTGTTCTAAACCTGTAGAACAGAACTTGTAAGAAATTGCTTTTCCCACTGTGTAGGTAAAAACTGGATGATGAAAGTAACTGAGTAGTCACTTGGTTGATGTCATATACAGAGCGGCTGACAGACCAAGGACTAACTTGGGTCCTGAGAGCTGATGTCAGCTGCAGCACATTACTGCCCTCCATGTTCCTTCGTTACACTGTTCATTCAGCTTCATACAGTCACACACAGTGCTTTTAATCTTATGAATGGCACTATTACTTTTATTACTAATAACAGTCTGTTACCATATGAGTCTTTTCATCCTAATGACATTCTTTCTCCTGACAGCATTTTATAGACTTTACTTAATTAACTTTTGCCAATCTCCTATGCAAAAGAAACAGATAATTGACCACATCTAAAAGTCACACAATTTTTTGTTGTAATTATTCAATAACTGGCCTTCTCCCAACACATTAGACTATCTGAAAATGGCACTTCAAAGTCACAAAGAATGACCCTGATGTGTCTACTCAGACAAAAACCTTTCCACACAAGTACACAATCTTTTCATCTCACCATCTAAATGACGGAAGGAAAAAATACACTGTCAATTTTCTATTGCTACTTGAAGCCCAGTGCTAATTCATCATAGCCACTGAAGGATATATTAAATGTTCGTCTACATTAGCAATCAGAATTAACATGCTCGTGTAAATGCAATAATTTTGACATTTTTGCTACCACTCTCAAATGGGTGAGAGAGATTCAAAGACTTTTTGTAATAGGAACTAGACATGAAAGGGGAGTACATAAAAGACAAAAACTTGACCTGGGCATTGTGGCTCATGCCTGTAATCCAGCGTCTTATGAGGCAAAGGTCAAGGATCAAAGTTCAAGGCCAATCCAGGTAAAAGACAGCGAGATGCTCCCTCATCTCAAACAATAAACCTAGTGGGTGGCTCATGCCTGTGATCCCAGCTACATAGGTGGTATAGTACAAGGATTGTGGACCTGAGTAAACCAAGATTATCTCTGAAAAATAAGTAAAGCAAAAAAGGGTTGGGGATTTGACTTGGTAGTCACATACCACACAAGTTAGAGTGAGGCCCTGAAGTTAAGTCCTTGTACCAAAAAAGAAAAGAGAAGAAAAATCTTTCAACAGTGGGTGAAACAAGAGGAAAACAATTTGAAGTAAATCATTAGAAAAGTTATCTTTGTATAAAAGGATGCTTCAGTACTCTGAAAAGAGGTAAGAGTAAACAAGCTTTTAAACTGAAGAGCAAAAGAATAGAAAGTAACAGTAATGCAAGATTTGGGAAATAGACACAGGGAAGAAAGCAACTTCCTCTTTGCTGAGATAGGAAAAATATCTTAAAACAAGGTTTGTGATGAGACAAAGATAAAAGGTTGGAGTACGATGACTTGAGGGAAGAACATAATTGTATTTTATTATATTCAGTAACTCAGGTCCCCTCCACCTTAATTTTACATGGTTCAAATGTTTTAAATCCTTTGTTTTTTTCATTTCATTTTTAAGGGCACACTGATACCTAAAGCTATTTTATGCCACATAAAAAGGTGAAATTTTATCTTTAGTTCTACCATGCTACAAATGATTAAGTATAAGGAGAGCATGAAATTCAATAACAAAAAATGAAATTCACAAGGGAGTGGAAAACAGCAAATCACATTTCAAGGTATAAAATACTCCGTCCATAACGTTATACTTCCATTGGCTTCTCACATATTATAGGTCCTTATTTTCCAAAAACTGAAAGTACCATGAAATATGGATTTCAGCAGCAGTCAGGATATTTTATTTCAGCCTTTTTCATTCTCTAGTGATAACTGGAAATTTGCAGATTTGGAAATATAAGTCATTTTTTCAGGAGGTGATGGAAACATAACCTGTCTGAATGGGTTTCTGGCAACTCCTGATAATTTAGTAAAGAACAGAGTCTCCAGCTATCAAACAAGAAAGAGGGACATCTTCAGTATTACAGGCACATCTTTCTCAGGGCAGAAAACTGCCTTAATGAAAATACATGAAAGAATGGCTATAAAATTTTTACACCCTAAAGACCCCTGTGCCCTCTAAGAACAAAATCTCAGTAAACTCAGATTCCTCCCAACAATACCCAAAACTTTCATCTGTTACCCATTGTACAAAGTTTCGTTTCACCAACTACAAAAAGAGTAGTCTATTTATAAAACTGGAACAACTGGAATAAGGATATGAAGACAGGAGAAAAAAATTAAATTGGCATGTAAACATCGTTAGTTAAGGCCCTGGACTATTTACTGAGCTGCTACATGCTGAGCCGCATGATGGGCCTTGGCTACATTACAATGGACATAAGCTGTGACTCAATCCTGTCAGGTATCTCCAGCCTGTCCAGCGGTCTAACCAACCCACTCCTCAAACACCATAATGTGCTTTTTAATTCCATAAACAAAGAAGAAAAATGGAAGCTATTAACAGCACAAAGACTTGTCACAGCATTATTAATACAAGAAGGTCTTCTTCTATATGTAAACATTATTCATAATGAGATTATAAAGTTGGAAACCAGATGACATTAGTTCCTTGTGGTCAATGCCAATATTTCTGATCTTACTAAAATTCTTCTAATTATGTAAGCTGGCTCTTAAGTTATGACCACTATCTTAGACTTTAAATGGCAATAGCTACTAAAAAAAAAAAAAAAATGGATCCCAGCACTAATATGCAGAAATTTATACAATTAACACTGTGGAAAAAGTAAATTAATATCAAGTTTTAAACTACTACCAAGCATAATGCTTTTAAACCAATGACCCTGCTTGGAAAGATGAATAATTTACATTATTTGCCACCCTCTCCTCCTATTATCACCTTCCACCTTTTTATGCCTCCTGTTATAAGACAATATTTGATAGTTTGAGACAGGTAGCAGATCGTTAAAGAGTCAACAGTAACACATTAACTTAGTAAGCATCCCTAGGCTTCTATTGTAAGATGGAAGAACTTGAACATATTACAATGTAGTGCTGATACAACTTGAGTGAATCACTAGAAAATAATTTTAAATGAAAAAGCCAATCCTAAAAGGCTATATATTATTCAGCTTCATATATAAAATATTATGGGCTGGGAAGGTGGCTCAGTGGTAGAGCGCTTGCCTTGCATGAATGAGGCCCTGGATTCAATTCCTCAGCACCACATAAGCAAAGAGAAAAAAGCCGGAAGTGGTACTGTGGCTCAAGTGGTAGAGCACTAACCTTGAGCTGAAGAGCTGAGAGACAGACGCCCAGGCCCAGAGTTCAGGCCCCAAAACTGGACCCCCCCCCAAAAAAAAAAAAATTATGGTGATGGTAAAATTATAGTAATGGAGAACATTTACTTCCTACAATTACATGTGAAATAAGAACTACCTCAACATAAAAATTCCAGTAACACTCTGGGCCTGAGTATTATGCAAACATAATAGCCTGTACTTACACAAACCAAGACAGCTGCCACAACACATTTATATAACATAATCACTTGGGACCACCATCATTTATATTCAGTCTTACCACTGATCAAAATGTTAGGTGATACATGACTGTTATTTAAAAACTCACTAACACTACTTGAGTCAGAAACAAGTATTTTATACTACCTTAACAGAAGTATAAAAAGAATAGACATGATAAAATAGCCACAGAAAAGGTGCCTGAGAAAACAATGGAGAAAAGTAATAACATCATGAACAAATAGCAAATTATTATTTAGGCATATTTAGAGACACACTAGATGTCACGCTATTAATTCAAGATAGAATGCTTACCCGATGCTTTGCCTTAATCCTCTTCCTGTATTCTTCTTTGTCAAACTTGTCCTCTTCCTGAAGTCTTTCCTTTGCTTTTTCTAAGTTGATACCACCAGCATCATCTTCCTCCTCTGAATCCTTTGTGGTAGATTTCTGTACTTGTGGCCACTGCTGAACCAACTACAGACAGAAAAAGTTAAGTATGCGGTGGGAAAAAAAGAACTTTCAAGAAACCAAATAATCCCATGTAATCATTATAAATTAGTATGTAACCATTTCCTGCCTTACAATTCTCTATGAACTTTCTTATAAACTTCCTAATTAAGGGGAATAAGGCACAAGTTCACAAAATTATTTGGAGAAAGTGGCTGCAGAGTAGAAATGCTTCCCAATTTTGTTTTTAATATCTACTCAAATTACTCAACTCAAAATCATCATTGAAATCAGAGCAAGACCTGTGCAGAGCAGGACTGCCAGAGCAGGACTAGTGTGTGCCTCCTGTGGGCTACTGAGGCATCTGCGTGTGTCCTAACAGAGCCCACTAAGCTGCTGTGCTGACTTTACTTTCCTGTTTCTCCTATCGGAACTAACTCTGAAGGCTGCTGTATGTCTTGTTTATTTATCCTTAGAGCCCGAAATAGTGTGTGACATAGTACACAGGGCCTGGAAACTGATCAATGGATTGCACTAGCAGCCAATATTATAGGAAAAGGGATTGGAAAAACTAAAGGTGAAAATTCGTTCAGGCTGCTCAAATCCACATGACTCTGCGCACATCATTTACAGATAGGAACAAGGTGACAGGCAGACAAGGGCATGCAACTGGGAGGGACTCTGGCTAAAGGTCCTGGCTTTTTCAATAGCCTACTGTATAATGCTGAACAAATTATTCTCTGTATACTTGTGTCCTCTCCAGAAAAATAAAGAGCCGACTCCATAATTTGTAGCTCAAACCATTATATAAAGCTTTACACAATTCGCACAAAAATGGTTCTTTTATCAAATAACTAGTTGCCAGGAGAATTTAAATAGGTGCCACTGTTTTCAAAGCCCGTTTATTGATCTGCAAGCTAATGGGAACCTCCCAGATGTTCACAAGGCCCTGCCTCCTCTCAAGCTTGCAACCACCACAGCTGTTCTTCAAGATGGGATTACTGTATTCTCAACTTCCAGCAACCAATGCGTTAAAAGATATTATTGCATGACTGGCCATTCCAGCAATCACTGAGCCCAAAGCAGCCAGGTCGGGGATCAGTTGTAGCAAAGAAAAGCCATCTCTCATTCAGACTCCTCATCCAAATGAATATCACAGAGTAAAAAGGTATACCCTCTGCAAGCTAAACAAAGAGCAGAAGTTCTTTCTGAGCTTCCAATCTAAGTTAAATTGTGGCTCAGAACCATCAACAGCTCCTATTAGCAATAAGCATAAGTGAAACATTTTATAGTTAAAGATTTGCAATCACCCTGGAGCTAATTGGTATAATCTGTGCAGTTAACAGCACACTAAGAAACCTCATTACACTAAGAGCACTCATCTTATTTTGCAGGGAACATCAGAGGCGATATGACTACATTTTAGTTTAGCCAGCATCTCTCATGCTCAACTCTCTTTTAGTGCTTTCATAAAGATTTATTATTTATCATTAATAGTGCTTTCCACTTCCAGCAACTTTAAAGCATGCTATAGATTTTGTTATCTGTCATCTCATTTTTTTACACCCCACAAATAACACCCAAATCTTCCTAACTTCAAAATTTTTAAAAAAGCAAAAGAAGAAGCATAGTCCTTTGGATACTGTCCGCTTAATTAGCATTTAAATCAGTGATGATGTAATGAAATCTACAATGGTGATACTAGTTGGTATAAAAAGCTCTCAACAAATTATTCTGAAGCTTTATCATACATTAAGCATTAATCTAGATATTGAGTATAGAAGTGAACAAAATATCTTCCTTCATAGAAAAATAGAATAGAAAACATTGATAGCAGTCAAATGAATGGACTTTGAGATTACAAAGCAAGCATTGTACTTGGTGGCATGGCTCAAGTGGTAGAGCACCAGCAATGAGCAAAAAAGAGAGTACAAGGTCATGAGTCCAAGACCTGGTACTGGCACAAAAACAAAAAACAGCAGAATTTAGAAAGTTCATAACCACCTATGTCAGGATCACCAGTAAGTATCTCAGTTTACTGTCAAGGAGAAATTCTTCTCCACAGCACAGGGCTGATGGAATGCTTACAGAAATAATGAGAGGAACGTCTGGGTAAGCCCTCAAGAAACATAGACATTCTCAGTAATGAGTAGCCAGTCAGCAGAAGACAAACCCTAGAATCACTAGACAAGTGTTTACAGAATCTTACCTCTCCATCATCAGTAAAGGTTATCTTCTTATTCACTTTAAAATTTCTCTTCATTACTTTTTTTGCTTCAGCAACTTTGGTTAATTTTTTCTTGACACTGGCTTTAGAAGGTTCTTTCTTCTATTTGAGAATAAACAAAAAAAGAGATGATTTGAGAAACAGTTGCTTTGTATTAATTTAACTCTAGTAATGTATCCCCAAAATTGAACGCACTTACTTACTGCTCTCATTGGCAATGAGAGGCAACAAAACACTGTCTAAAAATCAAGCTATTAAGACATAATAACTGATGACAGACACTCTTGATGCTCAAGGCTCAGGCCAGCCTTGGAAAGCAATCCTCCCACATACATCTGCTATGTAGCTGAGATTACAGTCATGCACCATCACTCCTGACTTATTAAGAGGAAGTCCTGTTAAATTTTTCATAGGCTAGCCTCAAGCTGCAATCTTCCCAATCTCCACCTCCCAAATGGGTGACTACCATGGTGACTACTATGCTCAAACCTGTTGTTTATTTTCTTGACTACAGAAATTCTGGCTGAGAGGAGATGGAATTTGAATGTCACATTGATTTATATTTCCCTGATAGCTAATGATGTTGAACGTCTCTTCATATGTTTGTTGGCCCGTGTTGTTAATTATTGATTTTTGGAGATAACACATGTACATGTATTCTGTAAAGGGTATTTACCTTAAAAATTATATTTCTTGGCCTGTTTATTAGCAAACTCAGTTTCCCTCCCAAGAAGTGTCTTATCCTCTCAGAGATTTATTTTTCAGATATATACGAAAAACAAAGTTACTAGAAAAGCTACCTCTTGCAATGCCTTGTTCATGTATATTCATATACACATGTAGCATCACTTTATAAAAGACAAAACACTCCAAGAAGATGTCATTTATATTCTGAAAGAGCTTGGCACCTGTGGCTCATCCCTGTAATCCTAGCTACTCAGGAGGCTGAAACCAGCCTGGGCAAGCAAGTATGTGAGACTCGTATCTCCAATTAACCACCAAAACAAATAACTGTGGAGCTGTAGCTCAAGTGGTAGAGTACTACCCTTGAACAGAAAAACTCAGGGAGAGTGCCTAGGTCCTGACTTGAAGATCTAGGACCAACACATACACCAAAAAAAATTTTTTTTGAAAGATATTTCCAAGTAATCCTACACAGAGGTTATGCAAATTTGTATTCCCAACAAAAATTCAAGAAGAGTCGATTCTCCACATTGCTTATTCCAGGCAAAGTAGTATGCTTTGAGTTTGTCAGTCCACCAGGTAGAATAAAAAAATCCAAGGAAGTTTTAAATTGACTTGTATCTTTTTTCTGACAGAACATTTATTCAAAGGCATCATTTTCTTGGGTATGATCTATATTCTGTGGTGCTATTTCTAAGTCATCTCTTCATTCATTAAATATGCTTCAAAATTTCTCTGCAATTCATCAGTTATGTTCAGGCTTTTGCCACTCTGGGTAATTTTTTCCCATCTTCTTCTATTTTGTTTTTTGCCAGATTTTAATGTAACTTCTTAAAATGCTTTCTTAGTTTGTCCTGTACTCTATAAATACTTTTCCAACTGTAAGATTTCTTAGGAATAAATTTAACTTCTTACAAGTCATTTTCTTTAGCAGTTTTAATAACAGCTCTTGGAAATAAAGAATGCGTTCATTAATACTTTATATTTCTATTCAGTAAGGCATAAAAAGTAAAAAGTATATCTATTGTTGGGGGAGTTATATGTGACTACATAACTACATTATTGGTACAAGAATAAAATTTGTAGCCGCTAAAATTTGCAGACAGACACAAAATATCAAAATGTAATTTTTGTTTCAATTTGAATTTCTTATGCATGTACACTAAAAGACTAAGAGAAAAACATAAAACACAAAACTGACAAAGCATCAAATTGTCCTCAAGATTCTACGATAGCCATAGGAAGTTGTTTCAAGGAACTTGGAAGATAAAGAACTACCACCATTACTATCAGTCACAAAAACAATCATGACTCCCATCACAAGGGTAAAATAAGAAGACTCAAACTAAAATCAATGGGAAAAGAAAACCAGTAATGTTTTAGATGAGAAGCAAAGAGATCAAAGTTGGAATTAGAGAGTCCAAAGAAATCAGATTATGTCTCCTTTAAGTGATTCCCATATGTGCCACTGACTAATAGTTTATAATGAAAACTATCTAAAAGTTGGGGGGGGGGGAGGGGGGGGAAGAATTCAACCATAAAGGCAACTTTAGAGATGATCTGTTACAGTCTCAGACACTCATGTCAAAGATGAGAACATTCCTTACTAAAAACTGCTTCTTGGGACTGGGAAGGTGGCTCAGTGGTAGAGCGCTTGCCTTGCATGCCTGAGGCCCTGGGTTCGATTCCTCAGCACCACATAAGCAAAAAGAAAAAAGCCAGAAGTGGCACTGTGGCTCAAGTGGTAGAGCGCTAGCCTTGAGTTGAAGAGCTGAGGGACAGCGCCCAGGTCCCACGACCAGACCAAAAAAATAAAATAAAAACTGCTTCTCTAAGTCTATATTTCTACTGGCTAAAATAGTCAAGCCTTACTCAAATTTATTCATGTTTAAAAAAAAAAAAAGCCAAAATGTCTGGTATAGAAGCCTCATATCTTTTTTTTTTTTTTTTTTTTTTTTTTGCCAGTCCTGCGTCTTTTTTTTTTTTTTGGGGGGGGGGGGGGGGGGGAGTCCCTCAGGCATGCAAGGCAAGCGCTCTACCACTGAGCCACCTTCCCAGCCCGGAAGCCTCATATCTTAACAATCCTAAACCTATCAAACTACAAGTATTTTCTAATTTTATAGTGTAAATCATAGACACATTTGATCATGATCATTTCTTTTAAAGCCTATCTGAATCTTTTAAGAAACCTAACACTGTCACCATCTAGTAGCTAAAGCATGTTGGTAAAATCTTTGAAAACTATAGCTTTAAAAATCAGGAAAAATAAATAAAATCAGGAATGATGGGTTTGATACTTTATGTTTTGCAATGTAAGAAACACCCTGGATTTTAGTTGAGGAGCAATCTGAATGTATTTATTACTACTTGATTGCCCATTTAAAAACAGCTAACTGCACAATCTAAAATACTGTTTTCTAAAGTCACATGCAGAGTAGAACATCAGCTTAAAGTGTTATTACAAGAACAAAAATTGTGTTTTCAGAATTCCTACACAGCAACAGTCCCAGAATTACTGAACACTAGAAGGGGAGGATGGAAAACAGAGTAAGTGGTGCATACAAAGTGCAGAGACACAGAAAGAACTCAAGACCCATACATCTGTATCAATATAGATGAAACAAGACTACCTAAGAGATCCTATAATAGTCTAAAAACAGTATCTCATAGGACTTTCCTTTGTAATAATGCCTACATTTATGCATGTCACATTTTAGAATTTAATAGAAAGTACACTGTAATCTATCCAGGCTGTGTGTAAATTTGTAAATATAATATTTCAAGATGAAGGCACTATTTGCCTCCAAGTCTCAGATATATTATCTCTGGAGTGGACTGCAATTGCTCCTGCCTGTTAGACATTCTGCACTCACTCTTGACTCTACTCAGGGTGAACCTATCGCAATCCCTTGTTTTCTTGTTTTGTTCCTCCTAGAATAGACTACAGTCTCCAAGAATGATTAAAAAAACAAATTCATTGTATTTCTATTTCCAGTGCATTACAGAAAGGACAGCATCTATGAAACATTCAATAAATAGTTCTGGAAAGAAGAATAAGTAAAATATGCATAGCTTCTTTTTCCACTCATAGCAAAGTCAAATCTTATCCCTACTGATTGCTTTTAAATTAAAACCTGAAGCTCAGATTAATTAAGCATTTGCTCAGTGTTGCATGATTTTAACCAGTGTTTGGTGTTGTTTATAATCTATAATCCTCATAGGATTTCTGTTCAAGCTACCTTAGAAGATTGAACAGTCCTAATTTGACTTGGTACTTCCTTTTTTACAGTTCTACCAGTTTAGGGGGAATGTATATGAGGACTGTTTTTTGGGTTTTTTTTGGGTCCGGTCGTGGGGCCTGAACTCTGGGCCTGGGCACTGTCCCTCAGCTCTTCTGCTCAAGGCTAGCGCTCTACCACTTGAGCCACAGCGCCACTTCCGGCTTTTTTTCATTTTGCTTATGTGGTGCTGAGGAATCGAACCCAGGGCCTCAGGCATGCAAGGCAAGCACTCTACCACTGAGCCACCTTCCCAGCCCCATGAGGACTGTTTATTTGAGAAACTTTTGTAGGTTTCAACTTTTTCAATCCATTACTTTTTTTTTTTTTTTTTTTTTTTTTTTTTTGTCGGTCGTGGGGCTTGAACTCTGGGCCTGGGCGCTGTCCCTCAGCTCTTCAGCTCAAGGCGAGCGCTCTACCATTTGAGCTACAGCGCCACTTCCGGTTTTCTGGTGGTTTATTGGAGATAGGAGTCTCACGGTCTTAACTGCCCAGGCTGGCTTTGAACCGCGATCCTCAGATCTCAGCCTCCTGAGTAGCTAGGATTACAGGCGTGAGCCACCAGCGCCCGGCCATTACTTTTTTAAATTGTTTTCATAGCCAGGCAATGTGGCTCATACCTATAACCCTAGCTACTCAAGAAGAAGAGATTGGGAAGCAGTTTAAAGCTAGTCTGAGTGCAAAGTCTGCAAGACCTTGTCTCAACAATAAAAACCAGTGTGATGGTGTGCCCATCACCTCAGCCAAATGGAAGCATAAACAGAAGGATCACAGTCAAGGCTGGCCTGAGCACGAATGTGAGACTCTATTCAAAAACTAAACAAGAGGTCTGGGGGCATAGCTAAAGTGGATAGAGTGTCTATCTAGCAAGGACAAGGTCCTGAGTTCAGTATTGTTTTAAAAAAAAAAAAAGGTTGCTTTTAGACTTTATTTTGATGTATATTTTTTTTACCATGATTAATGAAGAGGTTTAATATTTTATTTATTTTCTCACTTAGCCGCAAACCTGTTACTTCACTGTATAAAAATAGCACCAGCAAATGCAGTGCATTATAAAATGGAGCTAGAATTCTTCATCTGAGGTTGTCCAACAAGCACTTTCTTCCACTCCCAGTTATTTCAAATGGCAAGATCATTAGG